ATGTTGCTGAATGAAACGCTTCAGTGAATGTGGAGCAAAAGTTGCTTTCAAGCGCCACAGATCAGATCAAGGCGACTCTTGTGCTTCAGAACCTGTTTAAACATGAACTAACCAAATCCGCAGGCATTGGACACTGAAGACTGTATTGCAACGGCTACAGATTGAGCTAAGACAGTGTCTTGAGCAAATCAATCGTATCATTCATCTGAATAGCTATACAGTGTTTTTTTTTGTCTACATCTTCCTTCGAAAAAAAAATACAGCAAAATATACTCTGTGTATAGCACTTGGTGCGTCATGGACAGTGAAGAAGACGATGATTACTTACATCCAACTTCCACTTTTCTCTTCCTGCGTTACTTCAAGCCCGACCTTTCTCTGAAAGGCGTGATCATGAGAACTAGCCCGGGATAGACGTCGTCTGGGTCGTATATGTGCGGATTGTTCTCCAGAATGAAGGGATCCTCGCATTTCGCGCTGATGGTTTGCAGCGTTTCCCCTTTCCGAACCACGTAGACTTCGTCGCACGGCTTGTCCCCGTTGATCATGTTTGCGTTGGCCAGGGTCTCGTCGCCGACGACAAACCCGCTCTCGCTACTCTCGGAGCGGCTCAAAGGGAGGAGCATTAGCGCGATGAGGAGAGCGAAACACCAGCAGTATTCCCTCTTGGCCATGGCTATTTGAAAGGAAATGCTGCGGCAAGAGGAGCTGAGTTTGTTTAGGATCAGCTTAATGGTTAAAGCTGTGGCTTAAAGAGAGGATCAAAGGGTTTCTTGGAAGGATGTTTCTAGCTCTGCTCATTTTATCTTTACTATAAATATGGTACGATGTTCTTTTCTTTTTCGGTGTTGTTCGGAAGGGAAGTTGAAACGGTCCTTTCAGCGTAGTAGGTACTCGTAGTATCACTGACTTTTCTTTTGGTCTTTATCAGAGGAAAAACCAAATGAGCAACCATCGTTAGATTAATTATTTGCATAAAAATTTGGTGGAATTAATAACTAAGTCTCTAAAGAAATGTGTGTTAAAGTGGATAAACGTTTGATTAATATGTGATGAATTTTCTTTTTTAATGAAAAAAAAAAAGATGGCGATAGACTTATGAGCGAATTTCAGCGTCTCCCGATTAAAATAGCTTTGGGGACCCCACTCTCCACCTTGTAGGCAATTTTAAATGATGCACGCGGACGCAGTGAGTATAGAGAACTAACCCATCTCAATGGCGAGAGATGTGGGTTGCGCAAGAAAAAGTTACACACCTATTCATCTAATATTTATCTTTTTTACTAAATGACATGGTAAGATTCAATAAAATATTGAAACAAGTCTGACCCGCGGATGGATGATTGGCTTATTAAACACATGATGTGAAATTGTCGCACCGTTCAGTAATAAAGTTCGAGTGATATACCTTAGCACAGGTAGCATAGCTCGCAAGCATATATGGCATGAATCTAGTGCATATACTAAATCAAATCTGAAACTTCTGTTCTAATAGGACTCGTGTGAGATCCAAACGAGACTCACCACTTTAAATTGTTCAGATTCAATTAAGGCTATGCACTACGTTCATGCAGTAATTTCTCACTTGAACGAGATGGTTTGACTGCATCCTTGCCCGCTAATCATAGTGAATTTGGTCAAAAAAATGTCATAGTGAATCTAATAAAAACTGTCATTACATCTAATGAAGGAATGTGACAGTGAAATTGGTAGCCGAGAGATACTCGCGTATAGACGGGGTCAAACAAACTCGAGCACTTATGATATTGACAATTTCTGAGATCAGGAAAGATTCATTCCTCTTTGAATGCGTGAAGCCTCTCTTGTATTTTTCAAGTTGACTAAGTTACGGTAGTTGCTGGCAAATAATAAATACCTTACGCAAACCATCACGAAATATGCAGTAATCAGTCCAATGTTCATGTCATTACCAAAAGGGATAATGACACAAACATACAATGTTGTCCCCGAACTTTTATTTTGTTCAATGTGGTCCCTGAACTTTAGCCCAATGTGCAATATCGTCCCTAAACTTTTAATTTGTTCAGCGTAATCCCTCAACTTTTGGTACATATTCAATTTAGTCCCTGGACTATATGAAAATGTTTAATATAATCCTTCCATTAATTCAAGTTCAGGAACAACATTGAACATTTTAATATAATACAATGACTGGATTGAACATGTATTAAAAGTTGAGGGATTACGTTAAATAAATTAAAAGTTCATGGACGACTTTGAGCATGTATCAAAAGTGTAGAACTCCTATTGAACAAATTAAAAGTTAAGGGATGACATTGCGCATTGGATCAAAATTCAGGGACCATTTACGTAATTATCCCTTACCAAAATGAAAATGCATGTTACACATGTGATTGATTCCATGAACATCCCTGGTAAGCCTTAAGCCATGCAATGAGTTACTTACGGAATTTTGAGGCTGACTACGGCTTCAGATGATTATGCGGGAATAGGATTCGAACCTGTAGTCTTCAGGTCATGAGCCTAACGAGTTGACCAATTCCTCTACCCCGCGTCTTCCCCTTCCCCAAGATATCGCCGCTTCATTTGAACTAGTAAACTTACGACTAGGATCAAACAAACTGAAGAAATGAATCCAGGCACAATGAACATACTTGCTAACACCCAGGCCCACTCAAACTTTTCCATCCTTGTCGTTATCATTGGACACCTTTTCTGCCACACGTATGGCAAGCAAAACTCATCTTATCAAAAGGTTGACTTCATCAATTCCCATCAACTTTAGTGGATTGTAACACTTTTTAGAATCCTCGACTTGGTCTTTATGTATTATTCGAGTCGTTGGACCTTAATTTGACTAAGCAAAAAGGGCAAGAAGGCTTGATTATTATACGATTCAGGGTTAATTTTCAAATAGAAAGATGGTCTTTTCCGCTAGAGTGTACAATGTTTGCCATAGTGCCAGTATCATGTATAGTAATGCTACAGTGTATATGGCTACAGTTAAGCAATACATAGTTTACAATACTGACTAAGTCGCCTCTATTTCGAGATTACCGATCGTAACAAATCACATGATTGACGAGAAAGCTTTCAAACACGTAATCAAAACACCAAACATCACTTTAGTACAACTATAATTCGGAATTCTAACCATTTCATTGCGAAAAACTCCAAGTGTCTCCATCTACCTTACAGGGAGAAAGAAGAAAACTGAAGAAATATCACAGAATGTCCACGGATGACAACATCACTCTTGGCTACACTGCCACATCAGAAAGGTACGCACGACTTGCCACCATTCTCCCTTAATTTTTTCTTGGACAACCCACATTGATACTTCAGCATTAATATGAAAATCCGCAATGTCAGGTGCAAGTTCAACTTCAAACCGTTGGGAACCATATTCACGCAACCACTGACCATAAATTAATTCGATGTTGAGCATGCTGTCTATTGCAAAGGATAGAACCGTATGGAATAACATTAATCTTCAATTTTTGGACGTTATTCTCTACCTCTGGCTCCAAGTGAAATCCACTTAGGAGAGGTGGACGTTTTCGGAGCAAATTTGAGCTGCTTATCTGCAAAATTATAACGATTACCGCCTCCGAAATCTAATTTCAAGGGAGCTCGCATAGTGGAAGAGAGAAATCTTTCATGCATGCTATCAGTCAGCTTTAACAGGCCAGCACAAACTTCAATCAGAGCTCTCCCTACCATTCGGCAAGCCTTACATCAACCTAATTCATTGCAATCATTGATCATGTAGATCCCATGTGGATTTCACATGTGAAGCCCACATAATCAATGGTCCAGATGAACCTAAATCAATGGACACGAGTCTAGGAAAGTAATTTCCCTACTAGTCACCGAAATATTGCGACAAAAGATGAAAATAGGAAACAAAATAATGCACGTGTATATCATTGGTAGTCCACTGTAAAGAATGATCATTAATGAAAGAGCAATCGAATCGTTGTTAAACATGACCTTCTGTCTTTTGTTTTCCTTTCTCTCAATCTGAAGCGCACAAGAATTAATTACAGAAGACAAAATTAAGCTCAAACCTCCATCGGGAGTTATTTGGCTTCTCTTCCCTCTGTTAAATAGCTTTCTAGCCCCAATTTGAATTACGGGAACGCTTAAGTCTTTGCAGAAGAGTATCATGTTGAAAACTACGTTCAGCTAGGAGGTTGAGTGTCTTTGTCGTGCCTCCTCTGCAGTCCACAAGTGGCTCGAATCACTCAAAGAGGTCAAGTGATGGAGAGAGAGCTCCCATCGTGATGCGACCGTCTTGTTTGACCTCATCTCGAATTTGATCACTTTTTTTTCTTACCTATCACAAATCGATCAGCAAGTGATGGTTAGTTCACAACCACCATATGTTGAAGCAGAAAGGAAAAGAAAAGAAGAAGGAAACCAAGCATATGAAAGGAGAGAGCAATCATAAAAAATATGACAATCCTAGAACCAGAAAGTAAACAAACAAAAAACTATAGCAATTAATGAGCAGAGCTGATGGGATTATATTTAACATCCCAATCTCAAAAGCTAGTGTTCCAATGCCATCTGCCAGTTGAGACACCCAGATGAACTGGGCAGTGAAATATTGTCCTTCAATCCAGCCATTCACAGGACCAAATGAAACTAACATCAGATGCACACTTGCCCATTTGTTGTACAGAGAATCATACCACACCACATCCTGAAGGGCACAATAACTAATACCAAATAATCCAGGATATCTAACCCCACCTGCTCCACCCTCTTCACTCCCTTAGAATTCCTAAAACACCCCAGAAGCACCCAAGCATAACCCTGCTTCGTCAAATCAGCAGGACATATCAAATGTACCAGAATGTTCCTTTGCATTATGGCGTCGCAAACAGCTATTGCATGTGCACGGCGGTAAAATAATGTGGTAGTTTAATCTAGCACATTTATGTAGATTTTGCCCAGACCTATCAGCACATGCACCAGAAAAAAAGATGTACTCATCTCTTTACTGCCGGACATACCTAATCAAACAAATAGGCATCCGAACACCAGGCTACCAGCATTACTGGTAAACACCTCATCAAACTGCACGTACTTTTAGCTCTTCAAGTTTGGGGAACTCAAAACGTTAGCAGCCGCCTTCGTTAGAGTGCCCTTGGCACCACTAGCCACTTGCCCTGGAGCATTCCTTGCATTTACCACTTCACTTGCTGCAACTGACTTCTTTATCTGCAAGCATGCATCCATAAGGGGAAAGGAATTGAATTAAATGTCATACCAAATGATTAAACGGGATAATATCTGTAGAAAGAGCTATATTTATACTAATTATCAATGGCAACCGGATAACTGACGTGGATACGAGGGACAAGTAATTACATATATCTAGGAAAAAAATTAAGTAAATAATATTTAAAATGAGGTTTGAGACTTGTGCATAAAGGTCATAACTATGTGCTCGTGAATTTCATTATTCAAACCAGATAACCTGGTCAAGTATCTGAATAAGTCAGAATTACAAAGAAGAATACAAAGTACTATTCAATCAAATGAAACTTTTGCACTAGAATAAGCTATATGGGTACTGATTGCAAAATAATCTTTCCACAATGATAAAAAATGAACAAATATATGTAGAATATGGCATTTTAAATTGTAAATTGTCAGCATTAAGCATATGGCTATATATAATGGAACTATTAATATTGTTAAAATTCATCTCAAGTTTGAGCCCGAAAAAAAAAGTTACCTAATTCAAGTAGGTTTCCTATTTTAAATAGGTTTCCTAAAAAGAGGCTTCCTATTTTGGATCCAATTCTTGCTTATATATAAGAAGGGGATGTTCTTTGTGAAGAGGATCAAAGAGGCTTATTTGTGAATTACACTCTCGAGAGCTTTTTAGTGTTGAAGCCAATTAATTGTTGTGAGTAAGATCTGTGAATTCCTTCATAAGATTGAAAGATTATTTTGTGAAGAATTATGGGACTAAATACTAGATGATTTATTGGGTCTAATTGGGACTTGGGAAACACTAAGAGTGTTTGAGTAACTCGAGTGTAGTTATAATTTCCATTGTATCGATTGATCTATAGTGAAATTTGTTGATGCTCTCCCCATGGACGTAGGTCACTACGACCGAACCTTGTAAATTTGGTGTTCAATTTATTTTCTTATTCTATCTATTTTATTATTCGATCGCTTGACTTCCGCAACAAATATAATGCTTCATTCAATAGAATGGAACATGTAAGCTTTCCGAAGAGTTCTCACAAGACGGAGCACCATTCAAAATTTGACGTTTTTTCCTCCTTTGTTCCCAAAACTTGAGAGAACTACGAGTATCTTGTACTACAAATAATTAAATATGAAAAAAAAGATAATTTTTTGTCCTCATCTCATGATATGGATATAAAATGTCAAATTCAAAAGATCATGCACAATACACATCGCCAATTGTGTTTATGCAGGTTCAACACATTATATCTGAGCAAACAATTTTGCCAAATGAAGATTTAGTCAACAAATTTAAGAGGCCTGAAATTTTTCGATAAGTCTATCAAGTTAAGAATCAACTTCATAGTAACAGCTTTACATACTACCAATTTATAACAAGTATTTTATACACGATCATGATATTGAAGGAATGAAATCTCAGGACCAAAACTTACCACTGCAAGCCGTTCCTTATGTATATCATTTGTCACCTGAAAATTAGCAAAACAGAGAGACAATCAGGAAAATATCAGACTAAAGTTTCTCAGACACACGACACCAAAAAAAGAAAAAGACATCATTTCACACTACTACTGAACAAGGTAAAAAATATTCTTAGAGAATTACCGGTTTCCGGTAGCTCTTGACCTCATCTGCGCTGAAACCAGGGAGTGTTATATTCCAATTCCTTTCTGTAGGAAGGAATAGGGAAGTTAGAAAATTATCCAGTCACGATTGAAAATTGTCAAAAGTAAATTACAGAAACTTTTCCATCCAAACAGACCAACATGTAGTAGTATGTCTTTAGCTTCCAATGAGGTAGATTTGCGATGCTTGGCTAAGGAGCAGCCAAAGGCAGTGATCTGCTCAAAGAAGAGATGCACATCTATTAAACAATTATAACTACAATAAAAATAGTGGCACGGAAAATCTGATGAAGAGTAATAACCACTCAAGCACCCTTATTTATCCTAAATATTTATCTTGTGTATATATAAAATCAGGAAAAAAAACACTATCATGTGGATATTTGAAGGTGAAGAATAACATCACAGAACTGGCTTCTGCAAAAGGACATGGAAGATAAAAGAATCTACTCCAAAATCTTCAAATAACTGGTCCAAAATTATTATCTTGGGTTTCCATCAGCAGCCTCAGAATCACATAAATACTAGATAACCAAAAGCCCCAGAGACATGGAGTCATACACGTGCCATCCACTAGACTGTGTCTAGAATGAGAAAATCTAGTTATTCCTTACATTGTCCCCTCATCCCATGTATGATGTTCGCTAATTAGATGCCCTAGCAACACAGATAATTGTTCTCTCACAAGCAACAAGTCTACGACAGATTGACACATACTGGCTTGAAATAGGTGAGTAACAAGAAGACGTGAAGGATAAAATTGCTTACAGATTCAACAAATTCTTCTGCAACATCCACAAGAATATCCTCCACTTCAGCATCCAACTTCTCTGATGGATCAATCTTTAAAATTGAACAGCTGTTAATACTTAACGAAAGCATAACTGAAACTTTAGAATCAAATTCAAAAGAGGAAAAGGTTCAAGCTATTGCGAGGTGCTAAAATATAATCCGATAGAAGGCAAGAATTAATGGCGTCTAAGGAACAGAACGTCTTACTAATACAGCATACCATACAGGAGGTTGAAAAAAAAATATAATGCAGCAAAAAGTTCTGATATTGTAGAATCATGTCCACATTAAAGTTAAAGCCTATGCGCCAATGCCTTATTTTCTACATTATCTTTTCAATCCTCTTCAGGTTCCTACAGCTATAAAGAATTTCTAGTTCATACACGAGAGCCACTAAGAACTCACAATGGTTTGCAAGGAGTTTCAAAGGTCCTAAGTAGGAAAATACTAGAGGTGGATCAAGGATTACACTATAAAAGAAATGAACATTACCTGGTTTACTAGTTCATGGATACTTCTTTTACTAAGAATCCTGTTGCAAGATTCATCACTTCCCAAACCAGCTGTTTTCCCAATCATGGGGGAAGTGATAGGTTGTGCTTGCACTGTTGCAAGAGAGGAAGGTTTTTGTGCACCTGAACCTTGAATTCTTGAAATCTGTTGATGTGGTAAAGATTGAGGAGCCCTTGATGGTGGAAATTGCTGGCCATGTTGCTCCTGTGACTGATTTGATTGAGCAGGTTGTGATGGGCCAGGTGATGTGTACTGTTGCTGGGAAGTTGTCAATAAGGGTGGATGGTGTTGCTGAGGTATATTTGTTCGTTGCTGCAAGGACTGGGGGTTCATCTGTGGTCTATAAGAAGGGGATGGTAAAGGAGGTTTTCCTTGAGAAGGAGATGACAACCATGGTTGATTGGGCGAGTGCATGCTTTGTGATGTACTTGATGAATGAGAAATTGGAGAGCCAATTGAAGAGCCTCTCAATAGGCCATGTCCCTGTACATTCTGGACAGATAAAAGAAGAATATAAATTAAAAAACTCACAGATGCTACAAACTTGAAAATATAATCATCATGAAGTGTAGTAGAAACCAATTATGCTCAAGTCAACAAAACCATAGTTGGACAGAGCGTGTCAGTTAAACAGAATAAAAAGCAACAAAGTTGTGCATAAGGAAGCTAACACAATATAACAGGCAATGGAACTAAGAATAGTTGTAGATAGAAAAGAATCACGCAACTAATAGGTGGTATTGCGTAAATAACACAGTTACATTTTAAATTAAGCAAGAAGATCGCAAGGTTTAATACATTATCATTACAGGTGAAAGCCTGGCCCTGGATAGATTTTTTAATGAGATCAATGCTGGCAGACATAGGCTTGTATTGCAGACCAATATATGTACAACAGAGGATTTACGATTTGACACTCAAAACTACTTCGTGATAATATCTATTGGCCGATGACAACTTAAGTGAAGAGATACACATCATTGGTCAGTACTGGCATAAAATAGGGCATAAAGGACAATTACACAGACACCACGGCTAGTCCATTTGAGTAAGAGCGGCCACAGCCTGCCATCTTTCTTGGCTTGGCAGCAAACACAAGATAAGGCAAACTAGCTGAATGTTTCAGGATAGATGCCTGGATCTTGGGACTCTCTAATGGGTGTTACTCAAGTAGCTTTAGGGAGTATTGTATTCATGTGGGGCATTTGTCTATCTAAGAATGTAGCCAAATTACATCAGGAAAAATTTTTGCTACCTGAAGTTCTTAATGAAGACAGGCGCCCTGAATCAAGGTGGGTTGCTCTTGGCAAGCAATTTAAACAAAACCAACTCCAATGCGAGAAAGGGATACCACAGGGCATTCAAATGTTTACAGCACTCAAATCAAAATCATGATGTGCCAGCTATAACCCCCAGATCAAACGAATGCACTAGAACTACAAACTACTGTTGCTGCACCCTGACCCGAGTCCCCACGACCGCTCTTCTCATTTTCAAATCTAATTCTAGTATTATCAAACTTGACTCCTGACAAACAAAGAAGAGAGCAATACTGATTTCGCACCTCACAAGTAAATCAAAGAAACTAACTCTACATACATGTCAATGCATCGACAAACAATACACGAAACAAAGCGAAGACATGACAAGATTGTTCTGAGTCACCAATGAGCACGGACTTGAGAAGATGATGGGGGCTGATTAGTTGGGGAAGCTGGAGGTCTGACAGATGACTGTAGTGGTCTCTGTTGGTGAATACCACCCGGCCTAATCTGGGAGCCGGAACCGATTGATCCCATTGCAGCGACCCCATGCGCCGACGGGCGCACCTGGTTAATTCCAAACAAATTTGAAATCCCCGAAAATCAACAACAACGATTCAGTCCACGGCAAACACCCTGAAACGTCACCAATTTTTACAAAGGAGCACGCAAAACAGCATATTGCTTAGGAACACACCTGAGAAGCGCTAGCGTTAGAGATTGAATCGGGCACATTCACCAAACCTCGACCCAAGCCACCAAAGTGCTGCCCTAACGGAGACGAGAACGGAGCCGCCTGCGGCGGAGGGCTCGCGTGGTGCGCCGGCACGCCAATGGCAATACCTCCTCGCTGAGGAGGCGCCGCAGCTGCCGGCGGTGTCGGTGAAGAAGATGAAGAAGCAGACGTGGACGAGGAGAGATGGGACGAGAAATGCGTCAGGCCGGACGGAGGCTGCTGCCACGGCCTCGTTAAAACGGGAGGCTTGGGCTGCGAAGGGCTCGGGAGAGGCTGAGAGGCTTGCGGCTGCGAAGACGGCGGCGGCGGCGACGGCGCGGACTGCTGGAGTGGCGGAGCCGGTGGATTCGGGGGTTTGGGCGTTGGGTTAGGGTTTTGGGGCGCGGGAATGGATTCGGTGGAAGTAGAGAAAGTCGCTGCGGGAGCCGGAGGCGGGAGCGAAGAGGAGGAGGAGGAGGAGGAAGTGGAGAGCTGAGGATGCGGCGGGGGGAGGTTCTCAGCCGAGGGCGGCGGCGGGGGAGGCGTGCCGGTGGTGGCAGCGGTGGTCGGAGGCTGCTGCTGCTGCTGCTGCTGCTCCATGAAGGTTGGGTTGCTGTGTGTGTGGCTTTTGGTTGAGAGCTGGAACCATTAATAGCGCTTCAGGTGGAAGTGATTTCGGATCCGAATTCTCCGGTTTAATGAGAAAATATTGCATGAGTGGAATACTCCACGTCAGCAATACACAACTCCGTTGGGTGCGTGACACGTGGCAAGCGGGCCCACAAATCAGATTTATTAAAAAATCTGACTTCTTTCCCTTCTTTCTTCCGTCCTCCGTTAACCCTCCGTCATCTCGCCTCCTCTACTGCTCAAAAATACGCTTTTCCCCCCGGTTTCTCTCTCCCTCGCTCGTCTCGCTCAAAATTCCTCCCGCTCGCAACCTCCTCTTCCTTCCTCCGCGACTTCGCCTCCTTTGATCGTGAACCCGCCGGTTGCCTCCGCCTTCCCTTCTAGAAAAACCATCTGCTCTCTCTCTCTCTCTTTCCTCCGCGAAGCGCCGCTCTTTTTGTGAACCGCGCCTCCGCCTCTGCCGCTTGCCTTCGCCGTCGCCTCCCGGAGCCCGTCGGTGGCTCAGATCCCAACCACGCGGCCGCCTCCGCCTACATCGTCGCCTCCGAAGCCCCCATTGGCGATTCGTCCTCTGCCCCTCTCTCTCTCTGTCCCAAGAAACGGCACCGCTTGGCTCTTTGTGACGAATCGCGCCTCCGCCGTTGCCTCCCGAAGCCCCTTTGGCGATCTCGGGCTCCGACTCGCCCTCTGCGTTGCCTCCGAAGCCCCATTCTCAGGTTAGGGTTTTATATGACTTCAACTTATTCTCGTCGTTTTTGCCCTAACGTGAAGATCGGTGGCTCAGATCCGACCACGCGGCCGCCTCCGCCTACGCCGTCGCCTCCGAAGCCCCCATTGGCGATTCGTCCTCTGCCCCTCTCTCTCTTTCACAGAGAAACGGCTCCGCTTGGCTCTCTATGACGAACCGCGCCTCTGCCGTCGCCTCCCGAAGCCCCTTTGGCGAGCCCTCGGCGGAGGAGCTGGCGCTGGTGGTGATGGTGGGGTCAAGGTGTGCGCGTTCGACAATCGTAGTGCCGGTCGGAGTTCTGTGCCCGCCGACATGTCGGAGTACATGTGAGTCCGATCGACGCATACCGGGAGCTTTCTAGTTCATTTGAGTGTGTGCTGCTTCGTGGAGTTTCTTGAATCAGGAGCGTATTCACAGGAGAATGGTTGCCAGTTGGTGCAAAGCTGAAATGCTGCTTCAGCTTTCCTTGGACTAATCGTGCACATTGGATGGCTTTCTTAGTCTTTTAGTTTGATGATAATTTGGTGTTGTTCCAAAAACATTTTAACGAAAATTGACTTTGACTTTCGATGTGATTTCTGGAGCAGGACAAAGATTATGGCGAAAGATCTGATTGCTGTACTCAATCACCTGGGATGGGAAAGAGCCCATGTCATTGGCCATTCAATAGGTGAGTTTTGAATGACCCAAATTTCATGGATGCTTATTTGGCTATGTGGTTCATATGAGAAATTGAAATAACCATTCTGATTGCAATTTCTAGATGCCTGGATTTATCTGGCCATTTTTTAAACTTAATAATGAACTAAAAATCACATCCATGACATGTCTGCCTGTGAGTCCAGATCGGGTTCCTGTTTGTTTCAGGGTGACTAACTGCCCTCTTTGGCTGTCAAAACAGGAGCTATGATTGCTTGCAAGTTGGCTGCCATGGTGCCCAACAGAGTTTTATCTTTAGGATTGCTCAACGTGACTAGTGGAGGCTATGAATGTTTCCCAAAGCTATTGCATCCATTTCAGTATGCGATGGTCCTTCCTTTGAATAGAGATTGACATTTTTCTCCATGCAAACTAAAAGGGTAAAGAATGTTCTTCCCAGTTTCTTTGATCATTAAAAGAACTATTCGTTTGTATAGGTGTTCGTTGTTCAGTACTTTACAGACAGGTTGTTCATTTATTGCATGTTGAGCCTGTTTTATGCCCCTATCCTTTGCTTTAAACACATGAACAAGAGGAAATGGATTTTTTTTACTAATATACTGCTTAGAAAGGAGCCGTTATGAACTGTTACTGGTTGGTTACTTACGGATTTTAATCCATGTCAAGAATGTTCCTTATTAATGTTTGCGCGTAGTAGCAGAAGTTGCTTTCACAGTTTGCATCTCTCGAATGTCCCAGTCATAGCTACCATACAAAATCATTCAAATGGAAAAATCTTCAAAAGATCTCATTGCATCACTTGAATATCCCAGCCATAGCTACCGCACAAAATCATAGAGATGGTTATTTTTCAAAAGATCTCTCGTTGATTAGCTACAAGAGTCCTTTTCCTTGTGAAAATGAGAAGCAATGCAGAGACATAGGACTTAACCTTGGATATTGTGCGCGAACAACGATTTTTTGAAATAGAGATTCTAAGAAAGATCAATATCTAGCGAGAGCCTTTCTGCATCGCAGTTGCAGTCTTCCTGAGATGATTTCGTGTTTTCATCTAGGCAAAAAAGGGTCCTCTCACAGTTTACCTTTTAATGGTGAAACTGCTTATTGTTCACTTGAATCCGTTCATATTCTGTATCTTGACCTCACCATATGATGGAACATTGTTATCGGGGGAGTCGAAAGCTGTTTTGACTTTCCTCAAGAAAATTGGTTTCATTTTTACTTTCCCAAAGAAATTCCCATACTTGTTTTAAGTAGCTACTTGTGCTATTTACCATGTGAATTAAATTAGTTTTGATGATGCAATTGCATTGTCACTTAAAACCAAAAAAAGTTGAATCCAGTCCTGATATTGCACTTGAGCCACTATTTGAGTGGTCTAACAATGATCTTTTGATTTGCGTATACAAGACCGGCGAACCATCTCAATTGCAATCCGCTTTTTTAGGGCTAAAACTCCGGAACAAAGGGCTGCTGTTGATTTGGATACCCACTACTCAAAGGTAGGCAATACTTATGTACTTAAACCATCATTGTAAAATTCACTGCCTCCCCCTTTCATCTCTGTCAAAGGATAAATACTTAATCTTTCTCCATCCCAAAAGAAATAAGGATTTCAGGAGAACAATCAGTGGTTCTGTGATAGTATGAATTAAGGACTCCAAGTAAATTCATTTGTGTTCTTATGATTGGAGTCTTTCTTGTGGGACATGGAAGTGCGTTGATGTATTAAGCCTCCACGGACAGAGGTTTCAGATAATCTGTGTGAGTGTGTGTGTGTGTGTGTGTGTGTGAGAGAGAGAGAGAGAGAGAGAGAGAGAGAGAGAGAGCAATCCACAGGGTAAAGCCGTCGGTCTATTTTTCTTTCTCTTATGGAAGCGTAATGTATTATGTGCAGGAATATCTTGAGGGATATGTTGGATCTAGCACCCGGAGGGGCAGTACTCCTCCAAGTAAGAAATCTTGAAAAATCTCAAGTTTCTTTGGTCTAGCATTAACATAATGGAGCAAACTCTACATGGCCTTAGTAACTCTTGTGTTATTTAGAGACTTCCTGAGGGCTTTTTAAGGTTTAGTAAATGTTTATGTCTACGAGTGTTTTTTAGGTTTAAATGCACAACAATGCCATATAAACAAGTGCCAAACTATCATTGAGTTTTCCTATCCTTAGGATATCCAGAGATGCATTTTACTTTGGTGTTCACAGTTAAATGGACCTACCTTTGAATAACCATGGTGCAATATGGTATTTTACCTTGACAACTTTTTTTCACTTATGACTATACACCTTTGCTTTCAACCAGTTGCTTTCATCACATTTTCACGAGGACCAACCAAGATATATAGGTAATTTGAAAGAAGCAGTTATCACTGTAAAGAAGTATTAGTTCCTGATTTAGTGGAATGGTTTGAGTGGCGTTCTCTCAACTCTAAATATGCCATTTGGCAGAATGTTGGCGATTTTGCTGTATGTTTACCTTGTTGTATGCAGGCATGACGTTGCTCAAATATGCCATGCAAGGAGTCTGGCAGAGAAATTAAAGCCTGTTGCTAGAATGATGAAGCTTGATGGAGGGCACCTAGTGAGTCATGAGAGGACTAAAGAGGTACTTTATTTGAACAATAATTGGAAAGCTAGATACTGTTTTTTTAGAGGGCAGTTTTTCTGGCACTACTACATACTTGCTCCATGATGATTTATAGAGGGCAATTAGGTTTTCGGAGTGCACTGGACAAACATGTGAATAAGTTGGATGAAATCATTCTAGACGGTTAGGTTAGTGCTTATAGGTTTGTGCTAATTACAATGAAATGGATATACTTTAATTCTTTCAATTGACTTCTTGTGTGTATGAATTGAGATCAAAAGGAATGTGTAAAGTTTATTCAGACTTGAGAGGTTTTTAGATGTGGCTTTTGAACATATTATTGCAGTCCAGAGTTTCTAAAAAATGAGGGAATCACATCAAACTGTTTCGGTATTTTGGTCATACAAGTTGATTTAATTGTTTGGGCTTGATTGTTGAACTGCAAAAGATGGATTGAAGCTATGCTCATGTTCAGGTTAATCAAGCTTCTCGAGCTGATCAAGGTATCAGAAATGAAGGTTGTCTAGCATGATTGTATTGACTTGCCTAACAATAGCCCTGGTGAGTATTTCCATGGTCAGAATGATTTCCCAGTCTCATTTATTCTTTCTCTGAAGCATTTGTGCACGTTAGAGAATCCCGAGATCGACGTTGTCTTCAAACTTTTTTATGAAAGGATGACTCTAAAATGACGAAAGAATTCATTGTCTTAATGACGCCTTATGCAAACTATGCTAAATGTGGGAATGCGGTGAAGTTCACAAAGCAAGGCTATGTATCAGTTGTAGCTTCCATTGCAAAACTAGAGTCTTTAGCGGAGTGGCAACCACCCGATTTCCATCCGGTCTTTAGCAATGCCCACTTCTACCTGAGAGTGCAGGTTGATGGCTTTTGCAGTTCAGCTTCATTTAGCATGTATAGATTGTCCTTTTGAGCAAAACTCCTTATCTTCAGCTCCTCTCTCTCTCTCTCTCTCTCTCTCTCTCTCTCTCTCTCTCTCTCTCTCTCTCTCTCTCTCTCTCTCTCTCTCTCTCTCTCTCTCTCTCTCTCTCTCTCTCTCTCTAGGCTTGCTATATATTGCTTTGCTTCATGTTCTCTTGCACTGATAAATTTGAATTACAGCGCATCCCATATCAGAAAACATGGCTATCTTTTGTAAAAATCGATCTGGGTTATCATTGTCTTAATGATGCAACTGACTTGGATTCTCATAACAGGTTAAGGACTCTGGCTGTGGCATACAGCCACAAGATATTTCTCAAATATTTACCAGATTTATTCATCCTCGAAGTGGACCTAATCGAGGTAGTGGCGGTGTAGGACTTGGACTTGCCATTTGCAAAAGGTAGATTGCACACTGCCTAATGCTTTTGCTCAAATTGCAATTTTCTTTTCTTGTGTAAGCATATATGGTCCTTTGGACGCTTTACTGATTGCAGTTCCTCAAGCATATGAAACCCTACTGTCTCATGCACACTGAACCGTGAGTCAGAATGTCCAACCTTGGGAGGGCTTCAAATGAGTTCAGTTCAGTCAGGAAAGATCTATGGATCTTTGAACCTTAAATTTTATGCTTCTTGAAGCATAATATCAAATAGCAGCCCTTGAGGTTGTGGATTGATTTATTTGCAGTGGTTACTATTTTAGTTTTCTGACTCCGTTTGGACACTTATGATATCTCAGAGATAATTTTCTCGATTGTTTCGTCTACTAAAGTTTGCAAGCCACCGGATGAAATTGCATTATCTTGGTTTTTTGATTTGACATCTCGCCTACTCTCCTTTCAATGATTTTAGATTTATAAATCTCATGGGAGGTCACATATCTATCGAGAGTGAAGGCCATGACAAGGGCACCGACATCACTTTTGTCGTCAAACTACAGAAATGCAGCAATGCAAATGACTCGGCAGCACACAAGATTACACCTAGAGCTCAGTCTAGTCATGGTTTGTGCTGATTTTGCTCGGCACAAACCTCACAGAGATACTGACAGAACGGTCCCCTCAAACTCCCAGTATCAAAGAAGTTTTTGAAGTCTCGAATGCAAGTTGGCGTATCCCAACGAGGTCTTCCCAAGATATCTTTTGGATGAAAAAATGGGTACTAACTGCGTAATCCCTCTTCATCTTGGAGGCCTGCACATCTGATACTTGAGTGATACTTCAAAGCATCAACTTTATGTCTTGATTAGAAAGGTCTCGAGGTTGTGAGTACGAAGTCATGCAGGGAGGCCCTTCTATTTTTTTGTAAGTAAAAGAGTTTTTGTATGATCCAGTAATTGTCATATACTACCGTAGGCGGATTGGGATGAATTCGCTAGAATGCGAGGGACCCGACTCAAGTGTCCAAGCAGTCTTGTGAGTATAACTTTTGACTGTTCCAGTAGAATAACTGTTGATCCCTGTACTCTCAGTTTTCTTGCGTCTGCACTTGCCCTACATAGTCCTAGGAACCAGGTCCATGATGCACTCTTGTATAGTTTGGGATGATTCCCAATGATGGAAATTCACATTCTCTATGTGCGGAGCAATGACTAACATGCGCTTTAAGAGTTATTAGCAAAATGTATTACCAAATCACTCTCTTTCTGCAAATTTGTTAGTATTATAATAGTAATAACTATTATTATTGTTGTTGTTCTTTGCCTTTTTCTTTCCGAGCGGCGGCACGAGCAACTCTTGGAATTAATCGCCTTTTTCTTTCAAAACATGAGTTTATAAACTCAAAGAAGAGATAGCATTACTCACTTGGAATTCCCAAAATCAAATAACGAACCTCAATCGAACCGACAATCTCGTAATCTTAACAATTAAACGAGAATTGACGTCAAAATCAAGTAAAATATTATGATAATTATGTAACGGCTAAATGATGCTTAAGCGCTAACAAAACAACTTAAAGGCGCCCATAAATTGTTCATCCAAAGCGATTATCCAAACCATCCGCAACGCGGAGCTTGAGCGCGAAACTTAATTGCGCTATAACTTTCTCCACCGAATTCCGATCCTAGCAAACTTACAGTCAAAAGAAAGCCCGTTTTGAGTATTACAAAAGCCCCAACTTGACTGTCCCAAAATCGAGCCAAAAACCGACGAAAATCGGTCTAAATCCTGCTGGTCGCGCACTGTTCATCTTGTGCGGCCAACTTAAAAAATTCATATTAGGCAAACCGTAGGTCCAAATCAAGATCCGTAAAATTTCACGGCTCCGTGACACCCTAAACTATCAATTCTATATATATACGCAGTTTAACGACTAAAAAATGGGACTTCGCCGCTCAAATAACACATAATTCCGAAATATGAATCCAAATCAAGATCTGTACTGTTCACCTTGTGCGGCCAACTTGAAAAATTCATATTGGGCAAACCATAGGTCCAAATCAAGATCCGTAAAATTCCACGGCTCCGTTACAACCTAAACTATCAATTCTATATATATACGCAGTTCAACGACTCAAAAATCGGATTTCGCAGCTCAAATAACACATAACTCCGAAATATGAGCTCTAACCCGGAAAGCTTTTTCGATTGGACGAATGAGAGGCGCGAGCACTTACCAGACGTTGCGTTACAAAGTCGAATCGGCTAGCCGAGGGACTTCTCGGTCTCCCCTTTTTAACTGATCCACTGTAGCTTCTTTTGACTTTATGACCCTTTTTTTTTAAAAAATCCCAAATATTACAATTACAACCTTTGTTCATGTGACCTTATTCAAAACTAAGATTTCAACTATGCTAGAGATTAGGCAAGACGATGCTTTAACTTGTGGAAACATACCTTATTCCGAACATTAAACTAAATTTTTCATCCAGCTGGTCATTTTGTTAAGTCCCAACGGAGAATTTCCTATCTTCCACTCCAGAAACGGACCTTAATTCAAAACATAATCGTTTTTCGGGTCAATTTTCTGGATAGACAAGATTAACACACGGTGCTTGACTGTTTTAAGCAACATAACGCTTTTTACCTGAAGTATGCCAAACAATATCAGCTTCGCTTATTCTGACGCAAGATAAACCCCCACATGGTCATAGAATACCACGAATTGTGATAATTTTCGACTTTGGTCATGACAAATGTAACTTCTATAGGTAATGCACCCTTCTACGACGTATGGGTGCGCCGGTTTCCAATACTGCCACTCTCTCTTTTTTAGAAGAGAAACTTCATTCATGCAAATTGATAATGCGCACAGATGGATCTAACGTGGTGAGTAAGGATGAATCAGAGAAAAACAGCCACACCCAAGTTTTCAAATTAAGTGCAACACTAAAAGAATGAAATCCATGGTAATAATTGGAAAGACAAGGATCTAAATATAACTTTGAAAATCATCGGACTTCGTCTTTCTACCATATGAAACGTTAAGTTCCAGAACAAACAGAAACAAGTAGGCAAAAATAATCTAACATAGTTACTAAAGACAAAAGGAACACCAAAATTTGTGTAATCTTCAGCATTCTTGATCACGGGTCTCACTTCTTTGCCTTCTTCGGTACCCTGAAAGCCAAATAAAATTCTCTCAGATAAATCCAACTGTGGATAAAGAAAAATCTGCCCATTTTGTTGCATATACTTACTCGGCTGCAAGTGCTGTAGCTAGTGGTGCTACTGCTGGCTTCTCATCAGGTCCCTGTTCAATTTAGACAAGGGAATCAATTTAGAATCCACCTATGATACATAAATACATTTTCAGTCTAGTATAATAGAGCTTGTAATTTTGCTAGCTTGAAACAAAACTTCATTCATGTTCAATAAATGCATGAGTTCATGCATTCTGGATCCAAATACTAAATTGTGAGACGATGCCATACGAACTTGTTCCTTTATATCATTCTTGAAACTTGACACTAATACTTCATATTAGTTGACAGCTTAAGATCATTCTTCATCTGCACATCACTGAACAAATATTATAGATGATCTTTACCCAAAAAAATCAAATATTATAGATGAATGAGCCTCCAATCACCAAATGGTAAGTCAAAATACCAATGATTTCATTATAAGTAGCAGCCCAAAACAAATGGTAAGTCGAAATACCTTCAATCATGAATGAGCCTCTTCCATTTCCCTCCATGTAGCTTCAAATTCATCCTCTGATTTGCATCTATACATAAGTGCTAAGAAATATTTATCCTTAAAACCCGGCTTATGGTAAAGATGCAGAATGTTTTGATTGGCATTTTTCCCAATGTGCCACGTGCATAAACGGTGCTGTGTATTCGGAAACACCATTCTAATGGTTTTTGCCATGGCTTGATCTTGATCAGTGAATATGGTTTTCGGAGCCTTATTTCCCATAGACTTCAAAAACACCTCAAATAACCAAATAAATGATTCTGCAGTCTCGTCCAACAAAAATGCACAACCAAACAGAGTATTCTTCCAATGGTGATTAACCCCAACAAAAGGTGCACATATCATGTTATATTTGTTGGTACGGTATGTGGTATCAAACACTAGCACATCACCAAAACAGTCGTAATCAAATTTGGACGAACTATCTCTCCAAAATAAATTGGTCAATCTACCATCCTGATCTACTTGAACAGCATAGAAAAACATTGGGTTGTGCATTTGCATGCAATGAAAATGGTTCAAAAGACTTTGACAATCTCCGCCACTAATAACCTTGGATCTTTCTGTTTGCAAAAAATTTTGACAATCACGCAGGATGAAACCTAAGTTTTTGCTTCCTCCAACTTCGTTTGCTAAAAACTTATATGCTGAAGTCCCCCCAATGCCCGCTTTAATCATGTCAACCAAAATACCCTTGCACGTGTCAAATATCATTCTTCCGCATCTAATCAAATGCTTTTGATCTTCCGGTACAAATGCATGATTATGCTCAGAAACATAGTCCATGACTTCATAGACACCATGATCAACCTTAAATTTGATATGAGCAAGACACCCACATCTAACTTCAAATCTCTCATATTTCTTTTCTTGATCAGATGACCCAACTGAATGCCCCTCACAATTACACAAAAAAGTACGCCGGGTTATTTCCCCTTTTCTATTTTTAACAGTATTACCCTTTCTCACTCCAAATCCTCTGCCGATTGCATAAGCCACATACTTATGATATGCTTCAAGTTCATTTGAGAAAACCATCCCTATTACAAACTCAAAATCTTTTTCCATATCACGCATCACATGTGCAAGATGAGAAGTTTCATGCTGCAACCAAATGAACAAAAAATAATTCAAGAAAAATAACATCTCATCCTTTACTTAAGAAAGCAAATTATGTTTTATGAGTAAAGAATTACCTCTAAGTCAGCCATTTGATATCTTTACAAGTGCAAAATAACTGAGGTGATGAGAGACTATAAAATTCCCTCCTAATGAAATACAAAACAAACATTTTTAGAACACAATCACTCACACAAACATTTTTAGAGCACAATCAAACACAATCAGTAGAATATACAAGCAGAGATTTATTTAGGGACCCAATGTAATTACTAAACTCCACATCATCATCAATAACGAATGGGAAAAATCATCTCAATGGGGTTTAACCGTTATTGGGTTTTATCTCTTACTTACTGCCAAACAGAAAAAATCATCTCAATGGGGTATCATGGACTTATGTCTTTCCCTCATTGGTTAGATAGTTTCATGTCTAGAGAAAAAAGATTCAAAGAAAGTTCATATCTTGTGCATTAATCCATTGTGTCTAAATGAAGTATCCAGACAAGCTATTAAAAAACCAGCAAATCAATCACCATGTGTACCACAGAATGCCACATTCTATACACAATTTTCAGGATCAACTATACTTTTACGGACGTTGTTGTCATTCCAAAATCCCTAACATTCACATATCACATTGACTCCAAATGAGGCAAAAAACCAATTCCGTGAAGACGAAACAAACCAACCATCCTTTCAACAAAATAAGATGTCTATTACCTGTCTGCCAGGACACATGCAGAAGAAGTGGCAAGCACGGTTTGTCCCTAAACTTGGGGAAGAATCAACATCCTCACCCCCGACATGCTTGGCAATCTTGTAATCTGCCACTAGTACTTTTCCACCTCCACCACGGACTTCCAATGCCAATTTTGAGTACTATAAAGTATAAAATCAAACCCATGATAACCTTGAGAAAAAGAATTATTTCACTAGAAATACTAAATTATGCAAGGAATACAATTTACTCCTATGAATATTGTGAAAAATCAAAATGAAATCTACTACCACCAGCATAAAGTTAGATATGAAGGAAAAATCATACTAACATTGTGCGGTGTGACAAAAGTACCAACGTGGTGCATTAGTAACTCCACACAGTTAACCACACTCAATACCAAAGCCTTTATAATTTTCAAAATTGTTGCTACCACATATAGTCAAATTGACAGCACCATCCTCCCAGATTTGTCCCATTCATCCCACATTTGATCTACTTTTAACAACTGAGATCCAAAATGAGCATCCCTCAAGAAGCATGCACCGTCTCCCTCATTTCTTCTCTCTTTGTGTTATTTTTCTCCAATTAGTTTCCCGTTTGAGCAATCTCTAAGACATAAATCAAAGATGAAAGATTCCTGAACATAGATTTACTCTCCCATCTCTCCACTGTCACTTTCTGTACACCTATCCATTTGTGGTATGGTCATCTTGCTTCATCTCCCTATCACTCACTACGGTCAAAATCTCCTTCCCACAAACAACTCTTCCTTAAGTAGAAAAACCTCCAATCTCACAATCTTCTATTGATTCAAACTCCATTCCTCATTCTTCCCAATAACTCCAGCCCAAGCCTAAACATCCCCTGCTGAAGTCAAAGGTTTAGCAGCACCATAGCATGGGCTGGAAAATGACAGTGGCAAATGGACCAATTTCAGGGAAGCAGATGTGGAAAGTGGAGGGATGGCTGGCCTAACAAATTTTGAGAGGTAACTGATTCCATAACATTGCTTGGAGAACAAAGAAAGGGAAGACAGAATGAGAGAAAAGGACATGCGGATACCATTCTGCTCCAGGCATGACACGATATTTTTTCCCAAGCAAAAAAACACAGGATTTTTTTAAGAGTCTCTGGTGGATTTACCTAGAGAACCTCAATTGGAAACTTTTAACTTCATCGATAACCTAATTGAACAATCAAAACTAAAGAGGTGACTCGACAGTGTATAAAAAAAGCTCATTTCTGATGCAGTTATCCCTTCTAACAAATATAAAAGGTGACAGGAGATTTTTTCCCATTTTCAATGGTATTAGGGATATCATAGTCCTTGAAAATCAAGAGAACTTCCATAAATTTACCCTAACCACGACTGATCTAGTCACAACAGAGTGACTGATTGGTGGTACAGCATGAAAACTATTAGAAATTACCATAATGGGAGCTGATTGTTTTTATAATCCTTTTTCCACTTTTATCAGGAAACCAATTCCAAGTCCTCTCCAAGGACCAAGGAATATGCTTGAGTTATTTATCCATAATAACTTTCAGTCAGCTGAAAATGGCAGAATTAGTCACTTTTCAATGTCAATGAGATCAGTACAAGCACTCTAGATTTTGCTGTTCCTATCTAAACCATTATATTACTTCCATGACAAATTAGAGTACCAACTTAAGCTGATAAGTACTTACTTCCATGACACTATTATATATTGCAATCTCCAATTAAAAGGAGAATTTGGAAATACAATTGCTCGGTTTCAGGAATTTTTTTTTGCAATAAATGGTTTCTAAATTCAATCTGCTCTACCATCCAACAAATGTGAAAGACCATGTAAGTTGAGAAAAAAAACTCACCTCATGCTCTGGAATATAAACAACGATTGGCTGCTTGCATAATTTTGAAATTACCTGTAATGAATTTATGATTGGAACTGGTCAGTAGCTCAAGAAGAAATAAAGTGAGTGCTGCTAGCAAATGAAACTGTCAAAATGTAGAGAATAAGAAGACACCACCAGCTCCAATTAGCGCTAGAGAAACCTAGAAGAATTTACAGAAACAAAAGACTACTACGTTTGTCCCTAGATGATCCATCATACTGGTCGATTTGAAACCATAGTCAACTCTTAATTCTACCCGAGAGATAAGGAAGAAAAGAAGCCAACCCCTATTATTTCTATCTTTACCAAGGGCTTAATTTAAACCACGATTGATCTAGTCCCAGAAAATCAAGAGAACTTCCATAAATTTACACTAGCAAAGGGAAGTGCATCACCAACCTGTATGCTATTTATTAGTTCTTGAGGATGTTCAACCCTCAAACCTACCTGCAAGACACAATAGAAGGAAAACCGACAGTTAATAGTTTCATTTATATTGCCAGTATCCATACATTTGGAATGATCTTACTATGCATACAGATCAAGTTGCCAAACAAGGCATTTCCAAAGATGCCAAACATTTTAGTAACCGGACTATATATTTGAGAGGATCAAGGGTCGCAAGTTGAAACAAGGTTGAAGTAGCGATCAAGATCACAATGCAAGAATATAACATTTCATAATTGTGGCTATAAAGAAGATGAGAGGATAATATTAGCATAACAGCTGAGAAATTCATTGCCAAATTGCTTCTTTTGCACTTTCACGCAATCAATCAAATTCTCCTGTGAATACCTCCCGATTCAAGAAACTCCATGAAGCAGCACACACTCAAACGAACTAGAAAGCTCACGGTATGCGTCGATCGGACTCATGTGTACTTCGATTTGTTGACGGGCACGGAGCTTCGGCCCGCGCTGCGATTGTCGCACTTGCACACCTCAACCCCACCATCACCACCACCAGCGCCAGCTTCGAGAGCCGAGCGGAGCCGTTTCTCTATGAAAGAGAGAGAGGGGCAGAGGACGAATCGCCAATGGGGGCTTCGGAGGCGACGGCGTAGGCGGAGGCGGCCGCGTGGTCGGATCTGAGCCACCGATCTTCACGTTAGGGCAAAAACGACGAGAATAAGTTGAAGTCATATAAAACCCTAACCTGAGAATGGGGCTTCGGAGGCAACGCAGAGGGCGAGTCGGAGCCCGAGATCGCCAAAGGGGCTTCGGGAGGCAACGGCGGAGGCGCGATTCGTCACAAAGAGCCAAGCGGTGCCGTTTCTTGGGACAGAGAGAGAGAGGGGCAGAGGACGAATCGCCAATGGGGGCTTCGGAGGCGACGATGTAGGCGGAGGCGGCCGCGTGGTTGGGATCTGAGCCACCGACGGGCTCCGGGAGGCGACGGCGAAGGCAAGCGGCAGAGGCGGAGGCGCGGTTCACAAAAAGAGCGGCGCTTCGCGGAGGAAAGAGAGAGAGAGAGAGCAGATGGTTTTTCTAGAAGGGAAGGCGGAGGCAACCGGCGGGTTCACGATCAAAGGAGGCGAAGTCGCGGAGGAAGGAAGAGGAGGTTGCGAGCGGGAGGAATTTTGAGCGGGACGAGCGAGGGAGAGAGAAACCGGGGGAAAAGCGTATTTTTGAGCAGTAGAGGAGGCGAGATGACGGAGGGTTAACGGAGGACGGAAGAAAGAAGGGAAAGAAGTCAGATTTTTTAATAAATCTGATTTGTGGGCCCGCTTGCCACGTGTCACGCACCCAACGGAGTTGTGTATTGCTGACGTGGAGTATTCCACTCATGCAATATTTTCTCATTAAACCGGAGAATTCGGATCCGAAATCACTTCCACCTGAAGCGCTATTAATGGTTCCAGCTCTCAACCAAAAGCCACACACACAGCAACCCAACCTTCATGGAGCAGCAGCAGCAGCAGCAGCAGCCTCCGACCACCGCTGCCACCACCGGCACGCCTCCCCCGCCGCCGCCCTCGGCTGAGAACCTCCCCCCCGCCGCATCCTCAGCTCTCCACTTCCTCCTCCTCCTCCTCCTCTTCGCTCCCGCCTCCGGCTCCCGCAGCGACTTTCTCTACTTCCACCGAATCCATTCCCGCGCCCCAAAACCCTAACCCAACGCCCAAACCCCCGAATCCACCGGCTCCGCCACTCCAGCAGTCCGCGCCGTCGGAGGACGGAAGAAAGAAGGAAAAGAGTCAGATTTTTTAATAAATCTGATTTGTGGGCCCGCTTGCCACGTGTCACGCACCCAATGGAGTTGTGAGTATTCCACTCATGCAATATTTTCTCGGTCGAAACCCGGGAAAATACGATTATCCGAAAAATGGGAGTGAATATTGTTTTTCTAACTAAAATTTTATTTTGTTTGACCAAAAAAGAACTAAATTTTTATATGTACGATTTAAAGTGCTCTCAATTTTGTGCTATGAAATCAAAGCCTTCAAATTTTTCTATTTCTACAATCGAATTTTTCGGTTAACCCCTCTCGCTGCGTCGTCAAATTAATTAGCTACCTACATTGCTGACGTGGCAAAAAAAGGGCATACGGTATCGATATGGCATCAATTAGAGAAATGAGCAAAAAGGGAAAAAAGAAAGACCCTTAATTTGTTAAAATATATTATATCGTGTAAACAAAGCATTTGATTGCAATAAAAAAGAGTAGAAGATTTGTGAGAGACAACAAGAAATGCTTTCTTGGAAGCAAAGGACATGGTATGCTTCCTAAGTCTTTGACTAGTTGTTCGGTTTTTTTTTTAAATTTCCATTTAAATAGATTTCAGATTTCGTGTCGGATTTCTAGGATATCTAACTCCACAATAATAAGCTAAGGCTAAATTTTCCTTCTTGAAAGTGCTCCATCAATTTTTTTGTTCTTGATTTGAGTAATTTTTTTTTTGGTCAATGATTTGAGTATTGACTAAGCAGCTAATTGCATGAAAAGCTAGAGAAAATATTGCGTACCTCTTATGATTCCATCGTGGAATAATCCCAGTCCTAAGGTCGCGATACGTGTCTGAGAGGACCCACCGTGCCAGGCTCCACGGCACAACTAAGCTAAGAATTTTGAAAAAAAAAGCAAGCGCCCTCTCTCTCTCTCTCTCTCTCTCTCTCTCTCTCTCTCTCTCTCTCTCTCTCTCTCTCTCTCTCTCTCTCGTGCTCCTCATCTAATTTCCAGATTTGCGTTTCTCTCTGTGCACTCCGTCTCCCTCATGTTGTGCCGACGCCTACGCCGACGCCTACACCACCTTCGACGAGCGACGCCGAAGCCTACCCTCCACCTCCGCCCTAGCCTCTGACACCGACGCCGACGCCTCCGTCCTAGCCGTCACCGGACGCCCTGGCCGCTGCCCTAGACATCAACGCCCCTCCACCTTGACATGCTTTGTAGGCATCGCCTCCGCCTTAGCCGACGTCGACGCCAACGCTGCCTTCGACAAGTGAGGTCCGCAGCCTCCGACGAGCGTGGTCCGTCGCCTTCGCGCCGACACCTCGCTCCAGCCTCCGCCTCCGCCTTAGCCTCCAATGCCGAGGCCTCCGTCTTAGCCGAGGCCGTCGCTGGACGCCCTAACCACTGCCCTAGGCATCGACACCTTTTGCCTCCGCCTCGACTTGCTTTGTAGGTGTCACCTCTGCCCTAACCAATGTCGATGCCACCCCCAACGAGCGAGGTATGCCGCTGCTCACGAGTGAGGTTCGTCGCCTCCTGCAAGTGAGGTCCACCGCCTCCGACGAGCGAGGTTTGTCGCCTCCATGCCGACGCCTCGCCCTAGCCTTCGCCTCCGCCCTAGCCTCTGATGCCCTAGCCGTTGCCCTAGGCATCAACGCCCTTTGCCTTCACCTTGACTTGCTCTGTAGGCGTCGCCTCTGCCCTAGCCGAAGCCGACGACGTCACCCTAGCCGTAGCCAACACCTCTGCCTCGACACCCTGTGGTTCTCACCGTAGTCGACGAACCATGTTGCCGCACGCCCCTGCCTCCGCCATAGTCTCGAGAGAGGTACATATGTACTCCATTTGATTTATTTCTCGTGCTAGATTTGAATTTGCTATTGCCTGTTGATTTCTTGGTGTCGAATGGGTCTATATCCGAATGGGTCGATATTTGCTCCTTAGCTCGCTGCTCACCGTGTTTGAAAAAATGCCTAAGCCAAATCTGTTCAGTGTTTGAGGTTTTGAGGTTGCTAGGCCAAATGGAGAGGGTAGTGCTTGCGAAAATTTTTCGATACATCATAATGAATGGTGTGCTGCATCGCATGAAGTGTAACTCGCTGTATAGTGTTTGAGCTCCATAGAATGAATGGTATTGCATCACATATGAATAGACAGGGTAGTGCTAGACCGAAAGCATGTATGACCGAGCTAAGTATGAATGATATATTTCTATCCAAAAGAAAGAATGGTTGAGGTTTTGACATTGCTAGATCGAAAGCATCTCCTATTCTCCACATAAATTATGAACCATTGTTGGACCGTCTATTCATTAGAGAGTTTTTGCTTTGTTGGCATAATGGCCTTCGTGTATATGTCTTGCTATATCTCATCCAATGGACTGAATTACAAGAGATTGAAATCGAATTGAAGAAAATGGTAGTGCTTTGGTGCTATGATGCCCCCATGAGGTGCTAAAAGTAGGTTGTCGTCTTGAAGGATATCTGGTAATAAAAAAGAAAATACATGCTGCTGTGTGGCTGTCCTCGTTCACTATGTACCTAAATCTCGATTTGATGTCTTCTGGAGACAAAATCCATACACTCTGAGCTTTCCAATGAGATGTGATTGACCTTAATGTGACATCAAATGATGGGACAGATGGGATTATTTATGTGATGGCAGAATCTAGAATATGGTGTGAAAGTTACCATGAGTTGGAAGGGTGTCACATTATTATAGGGCATGGTGTTATGTACACATGGACTATTGTATTTGTATATTATGTCATGTATTCGGTACGTATGAGATGTTTGGGCAATGTGATGTGGTGCCTACGGACAATGAACCGTGGATGCCCTGACGGTGGATGTGTGATTATCAGGAGGCGAATGCCTTGGCTAAAAACCAAGATGCCCTGGAGTTTGGGATGCCCGCGACATTCAACTCGTGGATGATGCCTTGGCTAAAAATCAAGATGCCCCGATGAAGGGATGACCTGCGGTCTGGGCGCCGTGGAAGTCCGGGTAGTAATCCAAAAGTAACCTGCACGGGCCGGCTTGCCCCCGATTGAACCGTGAGATGGGGGTGGACCCAATGACATGACATGAATGCAATATGATGCGTGTGGTACATGTGATACATGCTAGCTTGATATGGTTTTCGAATGTGTTACTAATCATACTTGTTTACCTAAGATGCATGTCACGTAGGTGTGTCCTAGGAATCAAGAGTACGTTAGATAGGTCAGTTTATAAACTTGCTTTATCTCTTGTTGAGGTATTGCTTACTCCCGTTGACTTACATTTTTCGGATAGCTAGAATGAACGTTTCTCCGCTGGCTCGTTATGGATCCCCTTTCTATTTTGAGTGTACTTGGGATGATCTTACGATTCCGGGGTCGAATTTACTGTATACTCGATAGGTATCGGTGTTGTGGATTGATGTTGGATGTGCATCGATGGTGCTGTACCGTTTTATGGCGTGGTATGTCAATCGAGGTGGTGAACTGTTAGGTCCCCTGCAATTCATAGACAATGGCGATGATGGTGGTAGCAAGAGTAGTGGTTCGAGCGAGTACAGTGATCCGGAGGAACTCAGCGATCCTTAGATGGGTGGTGGTAGCGTATGCTGGATGGGGAGCCATTTCGGAATTCCACGGTTGTCACTTTTTGGTTTAAACTACGACGACGGGTGTTGATGGTAGCGATGACACATGTATAGGGTCACTTGGTAGTAAAGGGGAGCTTATATCTTTTTGGTCCTCCCAGTGTTAGTCTTTTGGTTGTATTGCCCGTGTATGTAAATAAGGAAAAGAAATGGAAGAATGATATCCCCGTTCAGTCATGTTGATTGTGCTGTTTGGGCCAAATCCCTGTTATAAGTGCTATCCTAAATGTGAGCTTCCGCTTGTACGATAACACTAAGGAAGATTAAAGAACCGCGTTAGTAGGGTGGCGCGCCTGGGACGTCACAGCTTCTGCCCAACGAGATGTTGAATCTGCCATCATATGGACGTTGTACCCCATATTTCTGAAGTACTCAGCTATTGTAATACCTAGCAATCCATACAAATAAAAGTCAAGAATCATTCAAACGTAGTCTTCAGCAAGAACTTGAATTAGTCTTAAGAATCGACAAGAAAAGAAATGACAAAAAAAGGAAACAATCATGCGCGCAGAACAGGATACTTTTTTTCTTTATAGAGACCATGTTAAGTTTGTCCTCCATCATTGAAAAATGACATCTTAACAAACTACAAGCAATGAACAATCTCTAAATATTCAGATGAACTATCAGTTCTAAACTTTGGGTGCAAAGCATTGCCAACCTATTTCGAAAACTTTACTTCTACAGTAACCAAATCAAGCTAACCATGAAAGCTAATAAACACAGTTACCTGTATATATTGATGCCTCACGAGCAGCCACAGGCATATTAGAAGTGTTTGCCACAAGAGTTGTACACTTCATAACTAACTCTTCACGACCATCAGGTAATGTCATTATCAATTGTGGAAAATCCATAAGGACCTGCATCATGAGAATTTTACAAACTCACGATCTTTCACGTGCTAACAAAAATACTTCTTTTATTTGATGGGATGATATGCACCTCAGCCATTTCGTTTCCACGTTCCCCACAGCCAACATAAACTACAGCTTCAGAGTTAGAGTACTGCAAATGAGTCAAAAGTATAAAAAGTCAATAAGTAATAGCATCAGCAATACAATGAAACTACAGATACAATTTCAATGAAGATCACCTTGGAAAGAGCGTGACTGATAACAGTTTTGCCACAACCAAATGCCCCGGGAATAGCATAGGTTCCCCCAACAACGGAAGCGAAAAGTGCATCAAGTACACACTGTCATGTGACAAAAATGTCGTGAATGAAAATATACCAGACGAAAAAAGACATCACGATATGAAATTAAACTTTCAATTTGTTACCTAACCAGTAAGCAAATGGGTATCTGCAGCAAGCTTTGATGCAACTGGCCTTGGTGTATGTACATGCCAAGTCTGAAAAAGACCAAATACCAAACTTTCTCATAAGGTTTTAAGATTTACAAACTTATACTTTTAGTTGCTTTCTCACACCTTGGAACTCTAGCTCCAAAATAGTGTCCTGCAATTACATATAAATTAACAAAAGTAGATCCATAGCTGCATACTGTCCAACGATAATGCAGATGGAGATTCCATGTCCAAAGAGAAGTCTCTCTTCAATCAGCCACGGAAATGTTTCAAACATTCAGAGTTAACAGCAAGGTCTAATTATCAAAATGTCTACAACGAAGTGAAGTCCCTTCACAGAAAGAAAATATCACAATAACAGCTCCAGTAACGTTAATAATTTAGATCCCTATTACCAACCCGAGGGTAACTGCTTCAAATTTCAAGGTCAAGCTATTTTACCTCTTCATGACAAGAAGTGGCGGGAATCGAAGTCGAGCTCATCCACAGCGAGCTACAAATTCAAGCCTATACACAAGAGAGAGAGAGAGAGAGAGAGAGAGAGAGAGAGAGAGAGAGAGAGAGAGAGAGAGAGAGAGAGAGAGAGAGAGAGAGAGAGAGAGAGAGAGTTCCTCCTCCTCTTAGAGAGAGATAGAATTATGTGTTACTTCGGCCAATTGATATTTCTTCCTTTAGAATCGTTCAACTCAGTCACCCTAGGATGCTGAAAAGAGTTTGATAACTCCTTCACAAAGGAATAACCAATTTATTTACATTTTACTAAACAAATGCCAAGATAAATGTCTCAAATAATCCCATGAGTAAAAAAAACAAGTTGTACCTAACTCAAAATGGTTCCATGAGATCTATTATGATGCTCCAACATCTATGCAGAAGCAACTATTAATAATAAATATTACAATAGTAACAATAAAATGAAATAACACTGGGATCTAAAATGATTTCATAATAAGCACCTGACTAGTGAATGGAGAAATTCCATTCATAATCCCTGGTGGCATGGTGTATGGTGATTGCATCTACATATAATAAATTTGTCACTACTAATTTGTTCTCCAAGATTATTCTCATTCATGTATCTAATAAGTTCAGCTATTAAATACCTGATCGAGAAATGGACAAAATCCACTCATAATCCTCGGCGGCATAATGTATGGTGGCTGCTGCATCCATATAAAAAAATTGACCAAATTAGTAAAATGTAAATGCAAATGGAAGACTAAGAGCGACATACCTGATTATGAAAATTTAGATTTACTCTAGGACCATCAATATTGCTAGGATAAAAGGCACTTTGAAATTGATTTGAATTATGTGAAAAATTTGGAAATGAGTTCCATCTTGTATTGCTTGAACAACCAACTCTACATTACAAAGTAATAAATATGTTACTGGCATCATGTGACATAAGCAATAAATTTAACTAATCATATTAAGTAGAATAATATGCCACTCACCTCGACTTTCTATTCGCATTGGAGGTGTTCCTTTCTTAGATTTTTTCTTTTTTTCTCACTTGAGCTTTTAAGCTTCCCATAACTTATTCCCTTTGCTTTCCTTCGATGGGGTTCCAATACCGAAATCTCGCACAAAGAAGCTTCATTATCATCATCATCACTAGCATCATCAGTCACAACCCTACTCGATTTGTATGATAAAAGTTTAGCCTTCATTTTTTCTATGCTCTTCGTCACTATTCTCATAGTATTTGCATCTTCGGCTCCCAAACTCATCAGTTTAAAGGATTGATGTATTAACGTGGTAAATCGATTAAATTTAGATGAACCCGGTGCCATTTCATGAGATTCATCATTCACAATCCCTTATTTGGCACCCTTAGTCCATCTTTTCAAAATATAGGGAGATGGAATACCCGTAACCAATGATTTTTCACCCAACACTTTCAAGGTATAGCAACACAAGCACCATTTTAATTCAAATAATTTACAATCACAAGAAACTAAAGAGTTTGCAAGGTCAAATTTGACAACATATCCACTCCCATTTAACTTCCCCTTTAACTTGAGAGTAAAAAAATAAACCGATCCATCAAATGCTTCACTTGAAATACATTGAGAGACACTTTGCATGAATTCATCATTGAACCATTTAAAAATGGTACGGGTATACATTGAAGTAGCATGCATCAAGATGTCATTATCCAAAATCACCAATTTGGGATTCCCTCGACTACTGTAATCATCTTGAGTTTCAATTTCTCTCATGTGCTTCACTTGTTCTTCATAGTGGTGGATAAACTCTACAAGAGTCAATGTCTTTGACGACATATGTTGGAAGACATTATTGGTGCTCTCACTCCTTTGGCTGGATCTTATACCACATGTAAAAATGTCACGACCAAAAGGTGAACTCTATTTGTGTCTAATGTCGTATAATCTCCGAAGCCAAGTGCTATTTGTAGTACCCCACTCCTTTTCCATTTCCCTCCAAGTAAATTCAAATTCTTCCTCCGATGTACATCTATACATAAGCGCTAAGAAATATGTATTCTTAAAACCCGACTTATGGTAAAGATGTGGGATGTTTTGGTTGGCATTTTTTCTAATGTGCCAAGTCCATAAACGGTGTTGTGTATTCGGAAACACTATTCTAATGGCTTTTGCCATGGCTTGGTCTTGGTCAGTGAATATGGTTTTCGGAGCCTTATTTCCCATAAACTTCAAAAAAGCCTCAAATAACCATACAAATGATTATGTAGTCTCGTCCAACAAATATGCATAATTGAACAAAACATTCTTCCAATGGTGATTAATCCCAACAAATGGTGCACATATCATGTTATATTTGTTGGTACGATACGTTTTATCAAACACTAGCACATCACCAAATCAGTCATAATCAAATTTCGACATGCTATCTCTTCAAAATAAATTTGTCATTCTACCATCTTGATCTACTTGTACAGCACATGAAAACATTGGATTTTGCATTTGCATTAAATGAAAATGATTTAGAACACTTTGACAATCTCCCCCACTTATACCATCGGATCTTTTCGTTTGCAAATAATTTTGACAATCATGCAGGTTAAAACCCAAGTTTTTGCTTCCTCCTGCTTCATTTGCTAAAAGGTTAGACGTCGTAGTCCCCCCAATGCCGGTTTTACTCATATCAACTAAAACACTCTTGCAAGTATCAAACATGATTTTTCTACATCTAATCTATGCTTTTGATCATCTGGAATAAAAGCATGATTATGATCAGAAATATGCTTCACAGCTTCATAGACACCATTGTTAACCTTAAATTTGATACGAGCAGGACAGCCACATCTAACTTCATACCTCTCAAATTTCTTTTCTTGATCAGATGACTTGACATAATGCCCTTAACAATTGCACACAAAAGTCGGTCGAGTTAATTCTCCTTTACCAATTTTAAACATATTACCCTTTCTCACCTCAAATCCTCTACCGATTGCATAGGCCACATATTTATGGTATTCTTCAAGTTCATTTGGAAAAACCATTCCTCCTGCAAACTCATAATCTTTTTCCATATCATGCATTACATGTGGAAGATGGGAAGTTTCATGCTGCAACTAAAAGAACAAAAAGTTATCAACGTAATGGTTTAAGCAAAATAATTTCACATAGTATAAGCAAAGAAGTACCTCTGATTCAGCCATCCAATAAATTTGCATCCAAATTGATACCAAATTGAGATTAAAATGACACCAAAAGAGTCCTACCCCATAAGCTTGAAAGATAATTACAACAGGTTTAAGTTCAGTAATGACCCTACTTAACGAGAAATAGATGTATATCAATTGTTATGGATGTCCATACTCATGTGTATGCTCAAAAAACTATAATGTGGAGTTCATTATCAGAAAAGGCATCCAAAACTATAATGTAGAAACTGCGCACACACAATTCATATATGCAACACAGCTGAGCTTATTTTTTTCAAATGGAGGTTGTCATCCACGGAAAATTTTTGGACATAAGCAAGCCACTTCCATAAATGGAAAGTTGGAGATGACAATATCTGAAAAAACTGCCATCATGATAAAATAAGCATGAAGTGTGACATCGATTCGCAGGTGACATCGATTTAAGGCAAGGAGTTGAAATGTGATGCACTACCATTCATTCTAACGAGCTCAAACACTGAACAGCAAGTTACGCTTCATGCGATGTAGCACACCATTCATTCTGAAGCCACCAGATAAAGCACAACACACCCTTCATTCTGATGTATCGAGTTACGCTAGCACTACCCTATCCATTCGATCCATTCAGTCTAGCAACGTCAAAACCTCAAACACTCAACAGATTTACCTTAGGCATTTCTTCAAACACAGGATGTACATCGAACTAAGGGGCAAATATCGACCCATTCAGCACCAAAAAAGTACAAATGAATACCAGTTATTGGCAGTTCAGTCCATGTCGACTTCTTGGCAGGAATGTCGAGACATTACTTTGTACTAATAATAAGAACATGTTGATTTGACATCGAAATTTCTGGCAAATTCTCATGTCGGGTGTATTAGTTCGACCATGGAAATTTTCGGCTTGCCTTAAATGTATAAACTTGGTCTCCCTATCCTTTTTCCAAATTGAGAATCTTTACGCTATGGGTGCTCCAGGTAACATAAACAGCAAGAAGAAGGCGTTGATGTTATTAAAGAGGATTAGCTTTCCTCGACAAAGGGGTTGATGTACAGGGCAATAACAAATTCAGGTTTGGCACGAGAAAGAAATCAAATGGAGTACATGTGTACCTCTCTCGAGACTATGATGGAGGCGGGGGCGTGCGGTAACATGGTTCGTTGACTGTGGCAAGAATCACAGGGTGTCAAGGCGGAGGCAGAGGCCTTGGCTACGGCTAGGGCGATGTCGTTGGCTTCGGCTAGGGTAGAGGCGACGCCTAC